TTTGAATATTTCTTGCCACTCCCTTCTGGCCTGCATAGTTTCTGTTGAGAAATCAGCTGACAGTCATATGGGTACTCCCTTGTAGGTAACTGACTTTCTTTCTCTTGCTGTTTTTAGGATACTCTCTTTGTCATTTGCTCTTGGCATTTTAATTATGATGTGTCTTGGTGTGGTCCTCTTTGGATTCCTTTTGTTTGGGGTTCTCTGCGCTTCCTGGACTTGTACGTCTATTTCTTTCACCCGGTAGGGGAAGTTTTCTGTCATTATTTCTTCAAATAGGTTTTCAATATCTTGCTCTCTCTCTTCTTCTGGCACCCCTATAATTCGGATGTTGGTATGTTTGAAGTTGTCCAAGAGGCTCCTTACACTATCTTCATATTTTTGGATTATTTTTTCTTTTTGTTTTTCCGGTTGGGTGATTTTTGCTTCTTGGTATTTCAAATCTTTGACTTGATTCTTGCGACAGGATCAAAAAATTTAAATGTTGTCTCAAGTATAGTAAAGGTGCTGTCAGAAACTACTATTTTGGGAAATAATTTTCTAGAATATTCTGATATTCTACAATGTCCTATTTACTCACGTGAGCACAGTACTAGATTGTAAATTGGAGAATCTCCATTGAACTCATGTTCCCTGTTCTAATAAACAGGTGTGTCTAAGCCAGACCTGGTCACCTTTTTGGAGCACATGAAGGGGCCCTGGGAGTTGAAGAGGAAAAAGACAATATCCAGCCAGCCAGGTAGGTGGGAATCAAGGAAGTGGATGACCCAAGTGAGAGGCCAAGGTTATGGAGGAAGTCAGATATTATAATATGGTTTGGAAAGATCTGCTGCAATAGAAATGATTTTGGAGAGGGTCAGGTTTATTTCTGTTTCTGTCTTCAAGGGACAGAGCCTCTTCAACACTTACTCTCTGGCATCATGTAAGGGTTCCCTTGTGCTCCTATGATCTTCCTTTGCATTTACAGTGAGAGCCAAAGACCTGCCTTAACAGTGTGAGGGTGGCATGACCTGGCTATTCTTGCATTTCTTGGTGAACCTGGGGAAGTCTGTGCACGTTGCTGAGGAATTTTACATTAAACTATGTTTAAAGTTCTGTTTTCTGCCCCATGTAAGTACTTTGGGAGGGAAGTGGTTGAGATAGTGGAATTTGGTTCCCACATCCCAAACACTGTGGATCAGTGTCCAAGTTGTCTTATTCTTCCTTTTGCTTGACCAAGTCTGTTTCTGATGTTTCTATTGCATATTTAAATTCAGGTACTAACTATAGTCTTCAGCTCCCAATATCTGTTTGGTTCTTTTTTTATACTTTTCGTCTGTTTGTATTTTTATTTTTGTCATGCATAGTTTTGATGGTAATATATTTTTTATTTTTTTCGCTATATTTTTCAATTGAGCGTCTTTAAGATGTGTTTTTTTTTCACAGCTTTGTTAGGTAATTAACAGATGTTCATTAACTTAGGGCCAATTTATGGAGATTTATGTTGTTCCTCTGGTTGGATTGTTTTTCTGTTTCTTCCTAAACCTTGTGATCTTTTGTTACTATTCCAGGTCATTAGAAACAGCTGCCATCCCATTCTTTATGAACTTGCTTTGTACAGGAGAAAACAAATAACAATCAGCTGTGATAGATTGTTCATTGACTGTCAAACCTATTCTGGAAAGTGTAATTAGTGTGTGTGTGTGTGTGTGTAACTCCTTTTTTACTATTTCAATTGTAGTTGCCAATATATTATATTCATTTCAGGTGTATACCCCAGTAATTAGACATTACATAGTTTCCATGCTGGGGCTACTTAGCAAGAGTTATGTGGTACACTGGGGCCAGATCCTGCTTGTTTGAGAAATTGTTGTAAAGATTGAAGCATAAGGCAATTCAGGCTGTTTGTATGGAAAAGCCACTGGAAACAGCTTTGGTGGTCCCAGACGTTGATGGGATGGATTTCAGGAAATCTTCAGGGTGGGTTGAAAAGTGTGAGCCAGGTTGATGGAGACGTAGCTATGGCTCTTGTTTGCCAGCTCTTGTGGAGGCCCGCTCCCAAGGGGTCCCGCAGGGTAGAGTTGGCGTGGGATGAAAGCACCAGAGACCGGGGTTAAGAGGACTGGCACAAGGCACCAGCACCAGCAACTTTATTTTTTACACACACTGTTTTATACTAAGCTGTGGCTGGTCATGCTTCATAGATCACTGCTAGGGCTTGGCCTATCATGGGGAAGTAGCAGATCATTACAAGCTGGGCAAGACTGGGCAAGCTTTGTCTAGTTCCATCTATGTTTGACAGTTGTTATGACAAAATGTCTGCTTGCCTAGATCACAAGAACTGGGGTGCAAGCCAAGTTCATGTCCTTTACATGACTTGGAGTGGGGTCAGGCCTTTCCTGGACCCTCACTGTCTCTTACATCTTCCCCTTCTTTGTGTCTTAGGCGCAATTCATGCACAGGGGTTTGCAAGAATTGGAGGCTTTCTCCAATGGCTTGGATGTAGACTGGAAATAGACAAAGCAGAATGGTTATGCATATAAGTATCATAATCCCGGAACCCAATAACGAGGTCCACCGGGTAGAAGAAAACTTTCAATCTCATTAAAAATTTTTGCTGCTACTTCCGCAGGCGGAAGCCAAGGTCCCTTTGTACTTATTATAGCCTGAATTTCCTTTAAAGTTATACAATCAATCATTGTTGCTAAGTGCAGTTACTAAAACATAAGTGAATTATATAAAACTATAATTAATCAATAATGCCCAATTACTAAGGTACTTATTAATCAACTTTGCCCCGTTGCTCTAGCTACTAATATAAACTTGCCCCGTTTCCTAGTTAGAGGCGAGATTGTGTAATCCACTATCTACTTGTTGGGCTGTAAGGATAGAGGTTTTTAAAGCAAATCCTGATGTTATAGCAGAAGAAATAATTACCACAGTAGACATAATAAAAGCTATTTAGGAATATACAGAGGAACAGTGGGTACATTCCAGGTGAGGGTTTGGTTAAACAATGCTTGAAAATGAGAGTCCCCCAAATGTCCATCAGGCCTCACCCAATTCCCTTGAATATAGTCCGAGTCGTTGGTAGTTAAAGGAGGATCAGGATTAGTCCAAGTCTGCAGAGTGAAGGTTGGTGGATTAATTATATGAGTCCAGTGAACTGCAGCCGAAGTCATTGGCAAGAGTCCAGTCAAGGCGATCAAAGCCAAAATTAACTCCTAGGAAGAGTTCCGAGTGAATGCTCTGAGCTTCCGCATCCAGCCTCTTCAAAGAGCCCCAGGTGAGAGGAGGGGTCATCTCGGTCTGCTGGCGACCCCTCCGCTGGAGCGTGTCCTGCCTCTTCCTCAGAGATCCGATCGCAAACTCAGTCATTGGGGTCTGCATCTGGAACTTAAACACAAGTACACCCTCTTCCCCAAGTTAGCAACTCCATCGGGCATTTCCAAAAGGAGGATTCCTGATCCTGGTACATTATTTTAGGATTAGGTTTACGTTCTTGAGGAACAAAGTGTTTTTCAGCAGCCATTTCCCCATGCTGCTGATTTAAAAAATTTAAAATAAATAGTGAATGTTGTAATATTTGGTTAGGAGAGTACGGACCCCCTAGTTCCCCCTTCTTTGTGTTTTAGATCTGATTTTTCAGGGAACTATGCTTTGTCCTTGGGGATTATAGGGGATTCCAGGAATATGAGGTGAATTTACTTTACTAGGATTTAATCACTTATAAAGATACTGGCTTCTTATGGTAGGTATCTTTATTAATAAAGTTAGTAAATTTAGTAAAGTTTTATGTCTGATTTATTGGGTGTAAATACTGCCTATCTCTAGCCTAATTTAAAATGTAGTAGTGAGGAGTTTTTGTTATTTTAAATTATATCTTAAAATTCTATTGCTGTATTTTAAGAAATTTTACATAAAATAACTTGTTTTGCCCTTTCTTAGAGGCAAAAACTTAAAATATATATTTATTAATTTTTATTTGATAAAGCTTTTCTATGTGATTTAGAGAATAAAGTTTTGAAAACATTTCAGGGCCCATGAAATGTCCCAAAGTCATTCCTTGGTTATAGTTTTGAAATCTAACTTGAAAGACTATTAAATATATATGTGTATATATGATTTAAAGATTATATACTTTTTATAATTATTAAGAGATATTAATTATTATATTTGGCTTGCTGGCCTGTACTATTTGATTAATTTCCTTTTAATATTTCTCTTCTTCTTATAATTCCTTATTCTTAGAAACTTCAATCCTTTACAGCTAGTATTTCTTAGATTATTAAGAGCAGGTGCTTCCTTCCTTATGCAATTTTTAATATTTCTCTTCTTTTTTTCTGACTTAAGAGATGGTTGATTATGGTCATGCCTGGGATCTAAACAATCCCGTATTAAATTCCATAAAGAAAATGTATCAACCGGTGTCTGAGTGGGAGTTGCAGAATGAAAATCACATAATCTTTTTCCGACCTTCTGCCAAACTCCTATATTTACCGTCCCTTCCTCAGGGAACCACGGGCAGACTTCCTGCACAAAATTTAAAAAACTCTTTAGCTGTGAAGTTGTTACACGAGCCCCTCTTGCCTGCAGCATGTTCTTTAACATCTGCACATACAGAGAGCGCTCTTTGGTCTCTAATTGCCCCATGTTTTACTCCTAATGAGCACAAATGACTTACTACTTGATTGTTTGACAGTTGCTATGACAAACAGTTGCTATGACAAAATGTCTGCTTGCCTAGATCACAAGAACTGGGGTGCAAGCCAAGTTCATGTCCTTTACATGACTTGGAGTGGGGTCAGGCCTTTCCTGGACCCTCACTGTCTCTTACAAGCTCTGTTGGTGAATGGCTCAGAAAAGGAGCAAAGGCTTGTACCAAGATTTATGCCTGGGAGAAAGCTCCTTCTGTAGCTCTTGTCTTTATGCCAAAGACTTGAGTTCCAACCTGTATGTCCCTGGTGCCATTCGAGCTGCTACCACAGTGCTGGAGCTCACAGGGCATGAATATGAGTAAGTCAGAGCATGAATCTTTAAGAGGAACTGCCTAGGACTCAATCAGCTCTCTGTTTCACTGTGGAACAATCCCTGCTAGTTTTTACAGCCAGAGTAATGGGGACATCTCTTCTTGGCATTGGACCCTGGGCTGACAGGCGTTCTGTGGGTCTGGGACCTTTCCCTCCTCAGATGTGACTTCTGCAGCTGATATATTGCTGGTGATTTTTGTTTTTTAAAAATATATTTTTATTTATTTCAGAGAGGAAGGGAGAAGGAGAGAGATAGAAACATATAGCTGGTGATTTTAATCCAGCACATGGGCCCAGTCCATTCCGTGGCGTTGCACCTCCTACCAGTCTGGATAAGCCTTCTTCTTTATGTCCTTACGTGTAGAACTTCATTCAGCTAGGTTTCAGGCAGTTTTGAATGATGGTTTTCCTGTAGTTTAGTTGTATTTTTTGTGTGGTTGTGGGAGGTTGCCAATGCTATAATTACCTACACCACCATCTTGACCAGAAGCCTGTGTGGATTTTGTGTAACTTCCCAGTTTAAAACATATTTTGCTTTTATTTAGAGCTCATGATATCTTCCCATTCCTGATGTCCTTCTTCAGCATTGCAGTCTTTCTGGTGCTTGAACAATTACTAACTTTTTTACTTAGTAGTCCACCACAATGTATGCTCAGTATATTTCATTTCTACAGAAATCTGTTTTATTCAAAAACAAAAAAAATCTCTCAGGTATTTACAAAAAATTCAGACAAATGGAAACCCAGTACACTCACTTATTTCTCTTCTGGGAGAAACTGAGAATTGGGAGTTATCCCACAGATATTTTGTAATGTGTCAGAAAGGGTGAGCAGTTATTGTGGGTAAGTGTAGGTAACTTTCCCCCCTCTTCGTTATGATATTTTTATTTTATGCTTTCTGGTGGATATTGTGGTCTTTGAAGTGGCTTCTGAAGTACTTTAGGAGATACTTCTCAAGTTATTCAGGATTTGTTGCCAAAGTCAGGTGTAGAAGTGTCATTCCAGAAAATGCTACAGGTAAGATATCACTGATGTGGCATTGAAAATTTACACTGAATGAAAGTTTTGTAATATGCAGGTGAATATGAAGAAAAAAAGCTTGTTAGTCATGATGGATGTGGCCAAAGTGGGACAATTACCCTTAATAAAATCCTTGTTGCCTAAAGAGATTAAGGATTTAAACATTTTGAAAATTTCTACTTGATATCAGTTTCATTGGCAGAACAATGTGTTTCTGAACATAAAGACTAAAGGAATGTTTTTAAAAGTACATATCCTCTGCTCTGGCTGCTGTGTCTCAGTTGGTTGCAGTGTCACCCTATATTCTGAAATGTTGTGGGTTCTATTCTGGTCAGGACACATGTAGGTTTAGGGTTCAGTCGCTGGTCTAGGTGCAGGCAGGAGGCAATCGATCAATGTTTCTCTTTCACTTCGATTTTTCTTTCTCTCTAAAAATCAATAAACATGTCCTCATATGAGAATTAAAATAATAGATGAATACATATTCTCTGAAGTAAAATTTGTAATAACAGAGAAGTCACATAGTCCATTATGTAAATAATTTTTGAATGATTTAATGTAGCATTTGGTTAAACAGTCAAATATTTCTAAAAATGAGATATTTTAAAAATGAAGATACAAGTTGTAAATGAATTTGTAAATCCCTTAAGCAATTTTGTATTATTCTTTCATGGGGAAATATTTATTTTTCAAGAGTCTTTAATTTCCAAAAATGTGCAAGGATATATATATAGCTGTCATGGTATCAGAATAGGTAATTGGAAAAAACTGTACATATGCAATGATACTAGAGCCCTAACTAAAACTTTTTCACTCTTAAATCATTATCAGAGTACATATAATGAAGAGAGAAGTCACCAATGCAATGAATCTCAGAAAAACATTAACCAAAGTTTAAATTCTAATAACCATCAGAGAACTCAGCTTTCACAGAACAATGATAAATGTCCGAAAGTCTTTGACAAAAGCGCAAATATTTTTATACCTCAGAGTATTCATACTGTAGAGAAGACAGAAAGACTTAGTGAATGTGCCAGGTCTTTCAACCAATCATCAAATCTTACTGATCATAAAAATACTCATATTGAGGAGGAGTCTTTCCAGTGTAATCACTATGTCAAAGTGTTTAGTCAGTCTTCTAAGTTAAATATACATAAGGAAATCCATACTGCAGAGAAGCCTTACAAATGCAAAGAATGTGATAAAGCCTTTAAGTGGCATGCACATATTGTTTTACATCAGAGAATTCATAGTGGAGAGAAGCCTTATAAATGTAGAGAATGTCACAGAGCCTTCAACTCTTATTCAAGCCTTATTCGACATCAGAGAATTCATCATGGAGAGAAACCTTATAAATGTAAAGAATGTGGGAAAGCCTTTAACAAGTGTTTAAGCCTTACAAAACATCAGATAATTCATTCTGAAGAGAAGTCTTATAAATGCAAAGAATGTGGCAAAGCCTTTAGCCAGTGTTCAACTCTTACCCATCATCAGAGAATTCATACTGGAGAGAAGCCTTATGAATGTAGAGATTGTGGGAAAACCTTTAACCAGAGTTCAAATCTTACAAAACATCAGAGAATTCATTCTGGAGAGAAGCCTTATAAATGTAGAGAATGTGGCAAAGCCTTTTCCTCGAGCTCAAATCTTACTCAACATAAGAAAATTCATTCTGGAGAGAAGCCTTATAAATGTAGAGAATGTGGCAAAGCCTTTACCCAGGGCTCACATCTTACTCAACATCAGGCAGTGCATACTGGAGTGAAGCCTCATAAATGTAGAGAATGTGGGAAAGCCTTTAGGTGGTGTTCAACCCTTACCCATCATCAGAGAATTCATACAGAAATAAAGCCTTACAAATGTAGAGAATGTGGGAAAACCTTTAAAAGTTATTCAGGCTTTACTAGACATAAAAGAATTTATATTGGAGGGAAGCCTTGTAAATGTAAAGAATGTGGCAAAGCCTTTAAGAGGTGTTCATGCCTTATGAAACATCATACAATTCATACTGGAGAAAAACCTAATCAATGTAGAGAATGTGGCAAAGTCTATAGCCGGTATTCAACACTTACCCATCATCAGCAAATGCATACAGGAGAGAAGCCTTATAAATGTAGAGAATGTGGCAAAGCTTTTATCCAGAGCTCACGTCTTACTCGACATCAGATCATTCATTCTGGAGAGAAGCCTTATAAATGTAGAGACTGTGGCAAAGCTTTTATCGAGAGGTCACATCTTACTCGACATCAGATCATTCATTCTGGAGAGAAGCCTTATAAATGTAGAGAATGTGGCAAAGCTTTTATCCAGAGTGCACATCTTACTCGACATCAGATCATTCATTCTGGGAAGAAGCCTTATAAATGCAAAGAATGTGGCAAAACTTTTATCCAGAGCTCACATCTTACTCGACATCAGATCATTCATTCTGGAGAGAAGCCTTATAAATGTAGAGAATGTGGCAAAGCTTTTAGTCAGTGTTCAAACCTTACCGATCATCAGAGAATTCATACTGGAGAGAAGCCTTATAAATGTAGAGACTGTGGCAAAGCCTTTATCCGGAACTCAAATCTTACTCAACATCAAAGGATTCATTCTGGAGAGAAGCCTTATTCATGTAGAGAATGTGGTAAAGCCTTTACCCAGGGCTCACAGCTTACTAAACATCAGAAAATTCATTCTGGAGAGAAGCCCTATAAATGTAGAGACTGTGGCAAAGCCTTTACCCAGGGGTCACTTCTTACTCAACATCAGAATATTCATTCTGGAGAGAAGCCTTATAAATGTAGAGAATGTGGTAAAGCCTTTAGCTGGTATTCAGCCCTTTCTAAACATCAGAGAATTCATATAGAACAGAAACCCTGATAAATGTAGAGAATGTGGCAAAGCCTATAAATTATGTTCAAACCTTTCTAGCCATTGGAGGAGTCATACTAGAGAGAAGGCTTACGAACATCAAGAATGTGGCAAGGCCCATATACATTGATTAGACCTTACCAAATATATGAGAATGCATTCCTGAGAGAAGCTTTACAAATGTGAAGAGTGACAAAGCCTGGCAGTGTGGCTTAGTGGTTGAGCATGGACCTACGAACCAAGGAGGTCATGGTTAAATTCCTGGTCAGGGTACATGCCCGGGTTCAGGCTCTATCCCTATTAGGGGGCATGCAGGAGGTAGCCAATCAGTGATTCTCTATCTTCCTTCTTCTCCTCTGTCCCTAACATCAATAGGAACATATTTTTAAATAAAGTGTGACAATGCCTTTAACCTCGGTATAGCTTTACTCAATACTAAGGAATTCATAGTGAATAGAAGCAACATAAATATAAATATGGGAAAACCTCCAACCATTGCCCAAACCTCACTAAATATTAAAGAATTTGTATCAAAGAGAAGCCTTACAAGTGTAGAGCTTGTGATAATGCCTTTACCCAGTGTTGAAACCTTAGTCAATATCACGTAATTTATTGAAAGAATAAAAATATAAACAATGTGGCAAAACTTTTAATCACTGCTCAAGCCTCAATGTACTTTAGAGGTTTCCTAGTGCAGAGAAGCCATGCAAATGTAAAAAGTTCAGCAAAGACTGGTTTTAGCATTTACATCTTAACTGCCATATGATTGTTCATACTGAAGAAAAACTTAAAATGTTAAAGAATATGCAAACCCTTTACCTGGACTTAAAGCCTTTCTGAATATCAGAGAATGCATACTGGAGAGAAATTCTACTTTTGTGAAAAATGATGAAAAACCTTTTCCCCAAATCGTATTTCAGAAAATCCCACAGAATTTGTACTTGAAAGTGAATTTAATCAAAATTAAATGTAAAATATCAGAGAATTCATAGTAGAAAGTATTAAGTCAATAACAGTTTTCAAATATGATTTTAAATCAGAATACTTATTTTAGTGAATCCATTAAGGAAAGCTACATGACTTTTTAGTATGAATCAAAATACCAAGGGGATGAATTTTAGGACAATTCCACTGCATCCTTTTTTATTACAATAGTTATTTGTGACTTTTTGAAAGAAAAGTATTACTGTGGTTTATATATAAATTAATTTCATCATTCTTTGAATGCTTATAATGTGTATTTTGAGCAGTGGCAATACAGTGTGTTTGCGATGCTTTTTTCCCCCCCAGTGCTTTGTTTAGAGTATGTGTGCACTTAATATGTTCATTTATAAAGTTACACACTCGAATACTACTCCATATTCTTTAGATTGTTTTAGGACATATTCTTTTATGTAGCAAAGAACCTGAACTTCTCTACTGTAAGTATTAAGAAAATTTAGATTATATACATATCTGCATAATAAATGAAATTTATTTCACAGGCATTTTAATATATTTTTTTTATTATTGGGGCAAAAGTTCATTGTGTCTTGGTCTCACCACTGAGCTATGATGTGACTGCCTTAACATAGTGCTCAGGTTCCTGAGAGATGTATGAATGTTGTGAAAATCTAGGATTTACATTTTCGTGATAATTGCAGGGGCATTTTGTATTCTTTATCTGTGCAAACCTGGGCCTGACAGTTGGGAAACAGCCATGATTATTAGAGGTGTTCACTAGTCACCAACTGGGATTATTGAAAACGGCTGAACAAATGTGAAAGACAGAAGAGAGGGTGAAAAAGACACAAAGATACACCAGGAAAAGGATGCTTTGGGTAGTTGTGGTGTGAGGAGGCATCTGAGGGAAACATTAGCCTGACAAGTGTGTTGGACCCACTGATTGTGCCTGTACAACATGAAAACCAAGAAGCTGCAGGCCCAGAGTATGGGCCCTAAAAATAAAATATCAGTAAAAGTCATGTTCTTGGTCACTTGCCTTCTCCTTTCTTTTTACTTCTATTTACATTTTTATTAGTTTAATAAAGGACTGTCTTTTTCTTCCTTAAACTAGTTTATATTACAAAGAAGTATAAATGGCTTAACATGTTTAAAGAACTTATCCAAATGAATTTTAGAAGATAGTTGGATTTCATTTGTCTGCCTTTTGGACCTGCCTGTGCCTTTAATATCAGTCTGATATGGCTTGGTCTTGTGTCCCTGGAGGTCTGTGAAGAGGCTTGCTGTTATGTCCTGAAAAGTAAAAAAAAAAAAAAAAAAAGAAAGAAAAAAAAATTAGGGTCTGATTTTAGTATCAGGGCCAGGTTTCAATTACATTAGGGTTTGTTCCAGCTTCCCCTCACGCTAGCAAGCATGTCCCCAACTTTGAAGCAAATGTTGATTTTGCTGTCTTTAAAGAGATTCTTGGATCCAGATGCCAGCCTACAAGTGGGGAACTTTTACTGAGAAAAGTCTGAGAAAGTGTTCAGGCAGCCAGGCCCCTGGAAAAGCTTTCAATGTAATTACTTCACCGTGATGGAAAACACAGAGGGTGAAAGTTCCTCAATGAGCAAAGGAAGAAAAGGGTCTGTATCACACACAGTCTTGTTCCAGACCCTGTGTACGCTTATAAACTGCTCTCTCTAAAGCCCCACAATTCTTTGGGGTAGCATGATTCCCATTTTACAGAGGAGGAAATTGGCTCAGAGAGTGTTAGTGAGTTGCCCAAGGTCCATAGCTGGTATATGTTTTCTGTTATCTGAACCCATGTCTCTCTGTCTACAAGACCTCAGAGGGGAACTTCTCTGCTCTGACTTCTCTACAAAACTTTGAACACATCCCTACTCAGTGTCTGATGGATTACAAGATTGTGTGGTCTTCAGTGGGTCCTGTGGTCCAGAGATTCCTACACTTAAGGCATTGTAGGTCAACAACTTTTTTTTTTTAATATATATTTTATTGATTTTTTACAGAGAGGAAGGGAGAGGGATAGAGAGTTAGAAACATCGATGAGAGAGAGACATCGATCAGCTGCCTCCTGCACATTCCCTCCTGGGGATGTGCCTGCAACCAAGGTACATGCCCTTGACCGGAATCAAACCTGGGACCCTTGAGTCTGCAAGCTGACGCTCTATCCACTGAGCCAAACTGGTTAGGGCTCAACAACTTTTTAAAAAATAATTGTATACTTTATTTTTCCAAGGAAAAATAATTTTAAATAAAGTTCCAGATACTGTAAATGTCATTTTACCCAAGAAAGGATATTTTAATTCCAGGAAAATACAAAGAAAAAAATTCATTCTTTCATTCATTTAAGATATATTAATTGACTCTCTATGTTGAAAAAGCACTTAAAATCTCTAGAAAGAATCCTAAAAGGGGAAACCATGTATTTAAGAAAATCCTATATAATAAAAGGGTAATATGCAAATTGACCCTAATGGTGGAACAACTGGTTGCTATGATGTGCACTGACCACCAGGGGGCTAACGCTCAATGCAGGAGCTGCCCCCTGGTGGTCAGGCTTCCACAGCAGGGGGAGTGCCACTCAGCCAGAAGCTGGCTCTTGGCTGGCCAGCACAGTGGTGGTGGCAGGTGATGGGAGCCTCTCCTGCCTCCACGGCAGTGCTAAGGATGTCTGAGGTGGCCTAAGCCATTAGTTGGACATCCCCCGAGGGCTCCTGGGCTGTCAGAGGGATGTATGACTGCCAGTTTAGGCCCATTCCCCCAGGGAGTGGGCCTAAGCCAGCAGGTGGACATCCCCCGAGGCGTCCCAGACTGCAAGAGGGCACAGGCTGGGCTGAAGAACCCCTCCCTGGGCCTCTACTATAAATAAAAAACTAGGGAAGAAAAATATGAATCTGTGGTGTTTGAATCGAGATCCTTTTGCTTCAGCCCCTTCCAACTTAACAAGATCAACTGCACCTCAGACTCATACAGCCAGAACACAGGGCTGCCTCTTGCCCCAACTCCCAGTGGAAATAATTGAGGAATTCTCAACTTACTTGAAATTGCTGATCCTCAGCTTCATAATATCCTTAAACAGCAACTAAAAAGATTTTTGAAAAGACATATCTATTATTGAGTCAATGCCAAAATCAACATGGCTATCTCACTGCATTAACTTGCACAACTTAGTCATAGTATTGCTTTCTCTTCCTCTGGCTCTTAGGTCGATGGTTATCACTAAAGGTCTGATTGCACTTAATGTCACAGTGCATTCTATACCCTCAATTTCCAGAAGCCCATTTCCTCCTCCTTATCACATTCAAGTCATGTGTATGGGATAACAGAGCAGCTGTAATTTGGGATTCTGTGTGTCTTTTTTTATTTTTTATTGATTTCAGAGAGGAAGGGAGAGGGAGAGAGAGAGAGAGAAACATCAATGCTGAGAATAATTGGATCAGCTGCCTCTTGCACCCCCCTACTGGGGATCGAGCCTACAACCTAGGCATGTGCCATTGACCGGAATTGAACCCGGGACCCTTCAGTCCGCAGGCCGACGCTCTATCCACTGAGCCAAACCAGCTAGGGCCCGCGTGTGTTTCTGAGAGGAGCATGTATGAAGACCCAGCTCTGGTGGCATCAAGAACTGTGAGAAGGAACAGCAGGAGGAGCCTGTGGGGAGCAGATCTAGTTTGGGGAGAGGCGTTTGAAGCAGAGTCTGTGAAAGTTTCTAGTCAACTTTTTTCTTAGTCTGAGTCTCTCATAGAAGGAAGGAGACTGCAGAGATTGAGGGTGGCATGTAGCAGGAGAAGAAGGAATGAGCTGTGGGAAGCGTGTTCATGTTTAACTATCTGCTCATCATTCAGGAAATGTTTACTGTATGTCTCCAATGTCCTGGACTATTCTCCTCTTGACATTCCTGTCATGAGAGAACATGTAGCACCTGGCATAGGACTCTGCCTCCTCAGCCTTTCTCCCCAGGTCTTGATCCTCCTTCCTCATCCCTTCCACTCTGTCACACAGGATCAGAGCAGCCGATTCAGGAGTTCTCAATAATACACTAAACTGTGGATTCTCTTTGCCGCAAGGAACATCAGCAATCAAATAATCTGGTGATTGTCTCCAAGGGAACTACCCACTTAGCTGTCCCTCAATCAGTTCCCCCTGCCCAGTTCCTCCACAGAAACCCTAAAGCATTGCGGATATCCTTTGAAATCCTTTATATAGTCCACCTCTTACAGGACCCCACATAATTCCTAAGAGGTAGGAATCTCTTAGAGGGATCCTTAAAACTCCCGAGGTTATTGATGGAGGTGTGTCACCTTCTTCTAACTCTTCTTGGACCCTGACCTTGTGGGATGGCCTCTCTTGTTAACCTTGCCCCTTTTGGGACAGACATTAGCCTTCCTTCCCTGCCCAACAACTTACTGTCAGGCTCTCCACTTCCTGTGGACATAGATGGCAGAGACACCAATCACCAGCAGCACCTTGAGGCCTAGGAGGACAGCTACGAGGAATTGAGTAGATAGTACTGGGCCTGCAAATCCAGGGACAGGAGGAACCATTAGAGCAGTGGTCTCAACCTCCCTAATGCTGCGACCCTTTAATACAGTTCCTCATGTTGTGGTGACCCCCAACCATAAAATTATTTTCGTTGCTACTTCATAACTCTAATTTTGCTACTGTTATGAATCGTAATGTAAATATCTGATATGCAGGATGTATTTAGGTGACCTCTGAAAGGGTCGTTCGACCCCCAAAGGGGTCGCAACCCATAGGTTGAGAACTGCTGCATTAGAGGAAACCATTCCCAGGGTCCTCCACTTTATCTGATGCTACTTGTGCCCATCAATACTCTGAAATAGCTTTTGAATGCTGATCTGGTCTCAGGCTCAAGGCAGAAATCAGAGTAATGGGGTTCATGCTCAATCAAAGTCTACTTAGCTTGCCAGGGTTGTCTTCCTCGAGGGAAGGGATGGATGGAATATGTATTCCAAAGAACAGGTAAGTGTGGCACCTGATGAACTGACTTGGTCTTCACACCCAATGGAGCAGGTAGTATTATCCTCATTCTGATGAGAAAGCTGAGGTTCAGGGAATTTATGGAGAGTCACAGATTAATGGGATTCAAGCCTAGAAAAAATACATCACTGTTGTCCCATAGGATGACCCTAAGACCCTGTCTTTTGAATGAGGACAAGTCCAACTTCTCAGTGTTACAGGAACAAATGTCAACAGAGCATTTGAGTAGAGTGAGGACAGATTGCAGTGAGAGTTGTGGTGCTGCTCTGCTTGGCACCATGGACAGGGCTGGGTCACCCCATGTTCTCAGGAATTGAGGGGGAGCTCATGACACCTGCTTTCTGGAAAACACCCTGTGATTCAAGGAAAGGGGTCACATGCTTGGGAGGAGCTCAAAAAACATTCAGCCCACCTTGACCCCAGGGTCAATGTCAGCTGAATCTTTCAATTGAACACAGAAAGTTGGACCTGGGAAAGCACACTTTTGTATTCTTTGCAGATTTACAATAAGCAGTATTTGTTTAAATAAAAAATTAAATGATTTACTATAATTAAAATAATCCTTAAGGTAGGACTGAAGATCTCACCATTTTTCATCATATGATGGAGAATGGCAGTTCTCAGCTGAGAGGCTTACTGGGACTTCCCCTCAGTTGAAGAGAGCTTAATTGCAAAGTTTGCATCCCTTCCCAGAGGGCACCCTGTGTCAAAAGACTGGCTGGACTGGGAGCATAGAGACACAGCGTAGCCTGGCTGGTGTGGCTCAGTGGTTGAGGGTCAACCTATGAACCAGGAGGTCATGGTTCAATTCCCAGTTAGGACACATCCTGGGTTGCGGGCTTGATCCCCAGTGTGGGGCATACAGGAGGTAGCCAATCAATGATTCTCTCTCATCATTGATGTTTCTATCTCTCCTTCTCCCTCTCTGAAATCAATAAGAATATGTATATATTTGCCCTGACTGGTTTGGCTCAGTGGATAGAGTGTCGGCCTGCGGACTGAAGGGTCCCAGGTTCGAGTCCCAGTCAAGGGCCTTGGTTTTGGGCACATCTCCAGTAGGGGGTGAGCAGGAGGCATTTGATCGATGTTTCTCTCTCATCAATGTTTCTAGCTCTATCCCTCTCCCTTCCTCTCTGTAAAAAATCAATAAAATATATTTAAAAAAAAGAATATGTATATATTTATAAAATAAAGACAGCCTTCTTCCCTCCATTTGCACAATTCTCAGAAGCTGTTTTCTGTCCAGTTCTCTGTAGAGTGGCCCAGTTTGGTGCCTGCCTTGTAGTTCAACAGCTCCCTCCACCAGTCCTGCTCCTTCACTGCCTCAGGCATGTGGGTCCTGACAGCTGCCCACAATAAGCTTCCCACATTCTTATAGCCATTTAGAGTCTGCTTCCCAGGGAAATGGACCTATGGAGTTTGGGAGTTTTCTGGAGAGCAAACTAAAATGCAATTTAGAAATTAGATCACTCATCAGCTGGCTGGTCAAAAGGTCCTAGTACTGGCTGGAGTTGGAGTAGAAGTCGGCCCTGCTGGCTCTATTGGAGCAATTGTTGAAATTTTCACTGTTGGTGTACTGGGATGCTGTAACCAAAGGAGGGGATACCTGGGCATCAGGCATTTGAAAATGAGTTGGAAAATGGTACTTATAAGGACTATGGTATTGGATGGTTCCTGCTGGGGCATCAATCCTTTGGAGAAAGACAATGAAAAGCTAAGACTGATTAATTACAAGTTAACGGTTAAGTGTGAGCCACAAGAGATTTTGCTAGCATTGCAGATTTTTTCCCTTCTGGAGTCAGATGGTTAAAAAAGCTGTGATTTGGACCAAGGACACAATTCTCAGAGCAGCAGAGCTACAGAGGAGGTTGAATTCTCCACATCAATGGGCCTGCTCAGCAAGGGTAGGACCCTGATGTGGAGATAGGGGACCCTGGGACTTATGGGCCAAAGAACTCAACAATCTTCAGTCCCCTTCTGGCTGCCGAGACAATGGTAGCAGCACAGCTACTTGTCTCCAAATATGGCCTTTCAGAACCAAATACAAAATACAACAGAAGCCACACACATCTGGAAGCCCCGCCCCGATCCCTGTGGGGCAGACGTGCAATGGCAGCCAGGGGACCAGGCAGAGGTCAGAAAGAGCCAGGAGGAGGCAGGGGCCGACATGGCCGGTGAACGCAGTGACTGTGAGAAGAAAGCCAGAGGCTGGGCACTGTGAGGGCCTCCCGCCCTCCCTCGTGCTTTCTTTCCTTAATGTACATTGATGTCAAAAGATCTATAAAGTTTATACCGAACTCTTACCAGTGGTGACGATGGAGTGTGGGGTTTGGGGAGGGGAGCTCACTTCAAAATGCTACTTTCTATCTAGAGACTTCTAGGTTATCCTATAATAAGCATGAATTACTCCTTATAACAGTAAAGATAAAATTTAGTCAGAGCCGGTCAGTTAAAGTGGGCGCCTCACCAGAGGATTCATCTGGGTCCTTCTGGTGAGCCAGGGCCTCCAAGGTGATGGTTTTGGTGACAGCCGGCTGCCCATCGTGCTCCACCTGGCAGGTGAGCACCGCATCCTCCCTGTGGGCAGACAGATTCACGAGGAGCGAGCTCCTCCCGCTGAAGGTCCCATCCTTGTTCTCTACGAGGGTCAAGGCTGTTTCTGTTCGGGACATGTTTCCGTTCTCCAGCCAGGTCAGCTGTAGGCGCCGGGGGTAGAAGTTCTTCACCAGGCAGGCGATGGCATTCACCTGGGTCTCTGACACAGTGTGTTGGGTAACCTCCAAGGTGGGCGGAACTGAAATAGCAAAGGGCAGAAGCTCTGACCTCATGGAATAGACAGATCACAGAGGGGGCTCCAGAACTTAGCTCCCCCACTACACAGAGGGCCGGCTCAGACACTGAGGGTTCTTTCATTTGAATGAAATCACTGACCACCTCTACCTCCCCATTTGGGCCCCCACCCCTTGTCTCTGGGGAGGGGTAGAGACGGTGTCCTGCTTTTTGCCCTGTTTTTGTGGTTTTCATCTTACTGGTAGCTGCCATTAGGGTCATATGATTGAAATCAACCACCACAGCCCCTGGCATGCAGTTAGAACATACTAACTTCAGCAAAATAAATGAAATTACCAAGCACATAAAAGCTTGCTTATAGTAGGCGCTCAGTAAGTGGAGTTGCTATTGGTAAAGCAGATAAAACGATCAAGCACATTGCTTGGCATGTTGTAGATTTTTCACCTGCCAGCTGCCATTAGACAGGGGTAAGTGATGGGCAAATCCAAGTGAGTGATGATGGGAAGGATTGTCAGGAATTAAATTCCAGGCCCGGAGCAAATTAGGGGGAGTAGCAGGCTGGGAGGAGAGGGGCCAGGTGTGGCTTGGGCTGGGTGTGAGGGGCATCTACCTCGGATGGCCTCAGACACGTTGGCAGTCCCACGAAGAGGAGGGTCCCCCTGTAGGGTGTCGTGGGCCACCTGGCAGATGACCTGGGAGTGAACATCCCCCGGGGCCAGCCGCACCCTGGCTGTGCTGGAGACGCTGTAGGAAGGGCTGTCTCCCTCTGGGTCCACGGCGGTCTGGGAGGCTGGGAGCTCATTCCTATCCTTGAACCATTTCAGGATGATGTTTCTGGGGGAGAAACCTTTGGACTGGCAGGGGAAGCTCACTGTCTGCCCAGGCAGCGACCTGCCTGTGGAGCCCGATACCACAGGGCGAGAGGGGTTGGCTGTAAAAGGAACATAATGAACAGTGAACATGACTGTGACTCTCACCACTAACCACAAGCATGTGGCACTGTCAAACCTTCTCATATACTGTGTGTTATCCTTCTGTTAAAGCTGGGAGAGAATGTCATTGTCCTCATCTTACATAGGAGGACACTCTTGTTCCCCAGAGGTGAACTCTGAGTGAGGGGCAGGGCAGGCAAGCAATTCCACACCTGCGTTCAAAGTCAACTTTTTTCCCTCCAGATGATTTCCCACAGTCTGGGCCCAGGGACAGAGTTCTTGATCAGTCTCATTTTTGTGCACTGGCTGTTCATAGCTGGTCCCCAATCCTTACAGAGCCATGAATGGGGTGATGATTATCATCTTCATCAAGTGGGGAAACTGAGGACTTGGGGGAGATAGAGACTTGCCCAGGAGCACACAGCCGTGGGATGACAATGCCGTGGCTCAGTGAGGGTCTGTCCTCTCAACAGGTTCACCTGGAAACATTCTGTAAAGGCAGATTGGATTATATCATCAATATTGGATTAATCAGTGATTTTTCTTAGTATTATGTTATTCTACACAATTTCTGCCAGTGAGGAGCTGAGGTCCAGCCAAGTTAAGTGGTTCACGACACTGACATAACCCCTTGATTTGGGGGTGCAACTCTGTGCTGGGTGATTCAGACAGAGCACCTCAAATCCTTTCCTCTCTCCTAAAAGGCGTTCATGATCATCACCATTTTAGAGACAAGAAAACTAAACTGAATGAATGAAGGGACTGTCCCCTCGGCCACTACTGTCCCCAGAGGTATTTCCTGTGGCCTCCCAGGTATTCACGTCCATCAGCAGAGCCAGTGCCCACCTTCAGGAGCCTGACCCTGACCGCCACCTGCTCCAGGGAGGAGTGCCCTCCAGTGCCCAGGCTGGGGCCCTGCAGCAACAAATGGGAGAATGGGCTCCTGACAGTGAGTCTAGACTATGAACTCTTGCTCACTGGGGGTGCAGGGCCCTCTAGGAAATGGCCCCTCCTCTCCCTCAGTCTGTAGACAAGGATGCTGCCCATGGTGGTGCTGGGGCTCAGCGACCCCTCTCTGCTTTTTCCAGGCCACTGAGCTAGGCTGCTCCTGCTGCTCAGTGAGGAAAACACCACAAAGCAGGGAAGGCCTCCTGGATGCCTCCACAGGCAGAGCCATGTCCTGTAGGAATAGTTTCAGGCCTTATCATGGGACATTTGAGGGTCTGTCTCCTCTCAGTTGGAAAGCTAGACCTGACTCCCCTGAGGACCCTTTAAAAAATTTTTTTTTCTGAAGAACATAAAAATGCATGAATCTAAGAAAAGGGTTGGAGCTTTCTCCACACTTTGACAAGCACAGTGTAGGACTGTGGCGAGCAGGGCTGTGAGTTATGCTGCTTGAGGTTTAAATCTTACTTTCTCTTCCTGGTCAGTTCAGGTTTCCTCTCTGAGCATCAGTGTCCTCATAGCTGTAGGAGTAAATGCCACCATGAAGACATGAACCCTGACCTCTCCCACCGCTGCTTGTTCAGCCCGGCATTACCTGGGCTAGTAGCTCAGGGAAGGGGGAGGAGCTCTCTACCAGGAGGCAGCAGATCTGAATGGTGATGGAGCCACTTACACCTGTGATGGCCTAGGCAAGGACACACTATTGGGAACTGTTAAAGCCACCCTCCCTACCTGTGTCCAGGAGCTGTGGTGTGACTCCATTGCAACCATGTCTAGGAGGGAATTTGGCAAGACCCACACAAATTAAAATGCACACACCCTGTGACCTAGCAATGCCTCTTCCTGTGAGCACCTCCCTGTTGAGTAGGATGACACATGGACAAGGGTATCCCGTGTCACTGTGTGAATCGCCCAAGGCTGGGGACAACTCACATCCATCAACAGAAGACAGTGAATGAACGATGCTGTCTCCACAGGCTGGAGGGGAGGCAGCTGTAGAAGGAGGGGCAGCTCTAGGTGCTGATGTGGATGCTCGATTTGGGGCGATGTGGCTGGAGGTAGGGAGAGGTTTCCTATCACCTTGGTCCCCAAAGTCTGAGTGTGAGAGGCATGTGAAGCTTTGGGTACCATTGAACATAAGAGGTGCTGGCTCCCTGTTCAATGGTGTGCTGGAATGAGCTTTATTCAGTGCCTGCATTCACCAGGCTTTTGATGGATAGAGTGTCTATCCTTTTTTTTTAGAGTGTCTGTCTTTGAAGCAGGAAAAAGACGCTAAAATCAGATGGAGTTCTGGAACAATATCCTCACTCACTGGCCATGTGACTTTGGACAAAGTCCCTTCACCTTTTGACCTCAGGTGCCCCTCTGTACATGGGGAGTCATGCCCGATGGTATGAAGTCCCTGCCTGCTCACAGTCCAGGATTCAGGATCCTGGGCCTCTGGTAAAACACCTTCAATGAGAACCGTGTTGCCTCAATGGGACGACCCCTAAGTCTCCCACATGGGGAGCCTCTTCCATGGGTGAGGGACATTCTGAGACGACCCAACTCTGCTTGGAGGCTTCATGACAGTGACTGGGATTCTGGAATAAAGGGGGGGTTCCAGACAGACCCACAGTGATCGCCACTTCTGGGCATCTCCTCCCAGCGGGGCTG